TGCTCCTAGTAGCGATGCCCTTTGCTACTAGTAGCTTCTTGCTCCTACTAGCGATGCCCTTGGCTACTAGTAGCTTCTTGCTCCTAGTAGCGATGCCCTTTGCTACTAGTAGCTTCTTGCTCCTACTAGCGATGCCCTTTGCTACTAGTAGCTTCTTGCTCCTAGTAGCGATGCCCTTTGCTACTAGTAGCTTCTTGCTCCTAGTAGCGATGCCCTTTGCTACTAGTAGCTTCTTGCTCCTAGTAGCGATGCCCTTTGCTACTAGTAGCTTCTTGCTCCTAGTAGCGATGTTTTTGCTACTAGTAGCTTCTTGCTCCTACTAGCCATGCCCTTTGCTACTAGTAGCTTCTTGCTCCTACTAGCGATGCCCTTTGCTACTAGTAGCTTCTTGCTCCTAGTAGCGATGCCCTTTTCTACTAGTAGCTTCTTGCTCCAAGTAGCGATGCCCTTTGCTACTACTAGTAACTTCTTGCTCCAAGTAGCGATGCCCTTTGCTACTACTAGTAGCTTCTTGCTCCTAGTAGCGATGCCCTTTGCTACTACTACTAGCTTCTTGCGCCTAGTAGCGATGCCCTTTGCTACTAGTAGCTTCTTGCTCCAAGTAGCGATGCCCTTTGCTACTAGTAGCTTCTTGCTCCTAGTAGCGATGCCCTTTGCTACTAGTAGCTTCTTGCTCCAAGTAGCGATGCCCTTTGGTACTACTAGTAGCTTCTTGCTCCTAGTAGCGATGCCCTTTGCTACTACTAGTAGCTTCTTGCTCCAAGTAGCGATGCCCTTTTCTACTAGTAGCTTCTTGCTCCAAGTAGCGATGCCCTTTGCTACTACTAGTAACTTCTTGCTCCAAGTAGCGATGCCCTTTGCTACTACTAGTAGCTTCTTGCTCCTAGTAGCGATGCCCTTTGCTGCTACTAGTATCTTCTTGCTCCTAGTAGCGATGCCCTTTGCTACTAGTAGCTCTTATTCCTAGTAGCGATGCCCTTTGCTACTTGTAGCTTCTTGCTCCTACTAGCGACGCCCTTGCTACTAGTAGCACCTTGTTCCTAGGGTTGCCCAGTGGTTGGGGCCAACATGCTTTGTGACGATTCTGCTCGGGATTTGGGAAAAGTATGGAATAGTAGTGCTCCGCTGTTGTACTCCATCCCAAAGTATCTCAGCATGTCTATAACCATTCTCTCGGAGCCCATCGAACCCTTGTTCGGACCTGGTAGAAAGACACATCAAACATGACGAAACAATTTAGATTTCCAGATGGTCAGATGGCACTTGAAGTCTTCCAAGATATGGCGCAGCTTTCGTTCCGTTCCTGCTGGCAGTTCCTTTTGGGCAAATCGGGCTAGATAGGGATTGGACAGTGGCAACTCCGTCGTCTGTGTCCGCAGCGGGCGCGGTCACTCTGCAAACAGCCGGGTTTGGCGGCAGGAATTGTAAGTCTGGGCGAGAGAACTGTGGCCGTTGGGGGACGAAAGGGTGCAAAAGACATGGATTGGCATGTCCTTATTTGGTGGTTGAGGGCAGGGCAGGCACCAATTTAAAGATACATGTTCGGAGGTGGAAGCCTCAAAGTAACAGGCAGTGACTAAGCAGGCAATCATTTTCACTGTACACACCATAGGACGCCGTAGGATTTAGGTCTTGGCTTCGACTTTCTGATGCATGTTTCGACCAGGTGTTCTTTGTCAGAAGCAGAAAAGCGACACGCGTGGAAGCTCCTCTCAAAGAATCTTTCGCCTGGATAAGAACTTGTAAGCAGCTGCCTGGCCTTTGCAGTAGAAAGCTTGAACCGTGCTCCGGTGAAGCGCGGACGACGGCGGAGACCGCACTGTTCAGGCCCTCAAGGATTGGAAGGTTTTTTGTACAGTTTTTTCGGTTCCTCTCTGGACGCACCGATGCATGCGCCAGGGGAGAAGGAAGTTGAGTTGCTTGTACAGTTTCGGCCATCTCTGGGGTCAACGGTGGAGCCCCGAAGCCAGATTGGCTGTTGTGTCAATTGGTTGGTTCTCAAGCAATCCAGTCAACTCAGCAATCAGCAGAAACTGTGAGCCCGGAGCCCATGACTCAATTGAAATGCTTGTACTGTCGGGGGGGGATTCCAGGGATTTAACATGATCTAAATGTCCTGCTGATGATTGTTCGAAGTATATCGTATCTCCTTTCGCTTTAAAGTCCAGGCCAACGCGCCCGGTGAAGCGCGCCCAAAACCATTGGAGATTTGTCTTTCAGGGGGGCTCCCATTGTGGGGGCCATTCTTGCGAAGTCCCTGTTTTTCGAACACGACTGCCGTGATCCCGCGGAAGTGCGTCAACTTGCAACATCAGCGTGAGGGGTCACAAGCCCATTCTTGTCGGGGGACGCCCTACGTCGCGTTGGCCGACTTCGTCCAGAAGAGAGGCTGCCGGGGTTTCGATTGGGGACCAACATGGACGAAGCAATCTTCAAACCTGCTCATGGGAAGGAAGCGTAGGACTTGTGCAGGGGTCGCCAGGGCTCATAGGAGCAGGACATAACGCTTAGATCGTGGAGTCCTAGTCTGATCTGGTTTCCATGGTCAGATCCTTGTACTACTGTTGCCACTCCTGCATCCAATAAGAGGACCCAATGACAAAATTGCGAAACAACAGCTATTGCTAAGTCAAAACATCTGGATCCTTTTGGAACCTCTTGACCCCAACTTCAACCAACAATTGCTGATCAAGCAGAACATTGCGGCTCAGTTGGCTTGAGCATCTTCGATATCGATGGAGTCGAGTGTGGCATTCCCCGTCGATGGAGTCACTCAGCGGGGCCCAAGAGAGTCGAGCGAGACCCACGAAACCTCAGCTAAAAAGGATGGGAAAGATACGATGCACCAGCGGAAGATCCACCATCCCGGCGTCCCGGTGGGTCCGCCCCGATCTTACTCGGAAAACCGCTCTGCCACAAGAGCCTCGAAATGGTCTTGTGGTGCTGCTAGTATGTTTGGTAGGTGGTGGTGGTGCCCATCTCCCTTTCAGGGCCAGGCCACCAAAACATGAGGACGGTTGGATAGAACATAGGCGACCTGGAAGATGGGTTTCACTTTGCTTTCCTCCACAAGCACACTGAACATTTTCAGCCCATCTCCGAAATCTGCCGAGATACTGGCCCTTTTGGGACCCGCCCGACTCTTCCCTTAGACGTCCTGAGCTTGGAATGCAGCACGCGCCGATGCAGCGAGGCCAGCATCGAGGGTAGAGCGTCGAGCCTGTTGGTTTGAGGCAGTTCAAACCATGTGATTCTGGTGCGCGGTTCTGCTATTGTATGGACGGTATGGAGTTTAGACCTTGGAAGCTGGGTTTTGCATCTCTCTTAGTCTTCTTGGCATAGCCACGGCCACCATCCCAACAAAAGAAAGAACCAGCAAGTAGTGTTGCCTTTCCAGGTGAGTATGTGGACTGTTGGTTCCGGCTCAAGCTTTGAAGGTTCAAGGCTATTTGAGCGCAAGAGCACTTCAGTTTGTGGGTCAAGCTTTGGTCTGATAGAATTCCCGTACCAAGTTTTCGATGAGGGGGTCAATTCCGGTGAGACTGTTGATGGAGGACATGTACTCTGAAGCAAGTAGTGCCTGGTGTGTGCTGCAGCTGAGTTTTGGAACGGGCTGGAGCTTCGGTATCTCAACTGAAGTGCCTGCCGTGGTGCACGTTTCAGCCCGCCTCAGCCTGGGTGGCCATGAGGTGAACAGAGATATTTTTTGATAGACGTGATAGACGTGGGTAGCCGGTGTTGAAAGCCTGGGAGAACTGGCAGAACTCGAAGGCAAAAGACATACATGACTCTCAGGACATGGACCATGGACTTGTCGGCTTGGGGCGGCCTAAATCTGTAGGAGGCTGCACCTAGCTCACTGGCCAGCCTGCACCATTTGGTTTGGAATGCTGGATTGTGCTTCGTTTGGATGCTGTGGTTCGTCCCACCCCGGCTGAATCTGTCGTGCGGCTCCGTGCTGTGCTGAAGACCAGCCAGGCACCTGCGGAGGGTGTTGTGATATGGTCGGGAAAAGGGAGTGGCCGTGAGTTGGAGGCGGACAAGACATTTCCTTGGGAACCCAAAGAAAAAAAAGAAAACTTTGGACAACAACATACAAAAAAATAAGAACAGTAATAAACTACATATTCTTATTTTAACAACTTTTTGTTGTTTGTTTCTCGTTTCAATGGCAGAGACTTGTAGATCCGAATTGAAGAAACACTCACGTTTTGCATCCGCTTGAACACATCTTCTCTCACGTTGAGCTCCAGTTCGACAACGGAAGCAAAGAGCACAAGCAGTGGGTTAGGACATGCTAAGACTGCACACTTTTTAAATGTTCGCGCTCAGATGATCTCACATGATCTTACACAAATCCTGGTGAATATTCTTTTTAGAACATCCCCAACACCAGCTCCAGGATGAGTGTGACTTACCAGTAGCAAGAAGCTACTACTAACAAGGGCTTTACTGTACTACTAGTGCCGCTTGGTCCCTTCTTGGGGGTCGATCTGAGGCCCGCAGCAGAGGTGGGATCGATGTGAGGGTGGGATTGATGGGAGGGTGGCTGCTGCGGGAGCCAGGGCCGTGGTGTTTTGAACGTTCCTTACGTTTTTCGCACCTAGGGCTGGGTGCGCAAAGTGAGAGACCATCAGAAAACCAACTGCAGGATTGTTGGGGGTGCG